ACATAACAAGAACTTGAGAATTGAAGTATAGTCGTGGTTTGCTTTGATTGATTTACGATATGTCAGAGAGATTTGCTAGGAAGTTGGAGGTTGTAAATACGAGATTACAAATGCGACTATTGTAGCATATTGAAGATATACATATGTGTGGTACAATATAGCTAACATTCAATTCACAGTGGTAATCAATTAGTGCGCTGAACACGTGGCGATGGCGGGTCTGGCCCTGAGGGCGACACCCGGCGCGCTGTACATTGACGACACTCACAGCGCACAGCTAGCTGCAGACCTCACTGATAAATTACTATGTTATTGGACATTTTGAAATATACCAGAAACATAAATCAAGAATTAAAATAAATCTCAGTTTTACATTTACATCTATACAATAAGGAGTACATTATAAAGTAAAACGATTTGTCGTAACGTCTACAGGAGCTACTCCAAAAAATATTTTTCCATTAGAAAGCTACAATATCGCGCGGACAAAGTCGCGGGTAACAGATATACATGAATAAAATATGACTATCCAAGTCTTCACAGCGACAATACTGTGTTAAATGGCTGAGTTTAATATGTATGTAAAGCTACATTTCCCGATTGCGTCATTTCCTCATGGCACATTATAGCATAACTTTTGTTATCACTCAAATAAATCCATCGCACGTGTTGCTTTCATCACGCTACAAGGGATTAGTTTCCCAATGTACGCCGTGTTAGAGTGCATAATCGGCGGGCAGTGGAGGCCGGAGGTGCAGGGGGAATGCGCCGGGAGTACTTTCGCTCGGCGAAAACTCATTCACTTTCCGCGAGACGTTGTTCTTAGTGAAGCGCACTAATTGCCCATTAAAGCACTAATGAGCCAACATCGCGTGCCGGCGGCCGTTAGCGGTCAGTCGCCTGCCGACATCGCGCTGCCAGTTAACAGAAGCCATGCTCAAGGAAAGTGGAAAAGAAGCTGGTTGTGGATGAACTATCAAAGTAAAAGTTAATCTGGTCAATTACTTTAAAAAGATTTTAAAATAACCATTCAAGGAAATGCATAACCTAGGGCGTCCATTATGGTACATACATCGATCATCATTAACTACGGTATATTAGTAACACACACACACAGGCAAGCCGGGTCTGAGCTCGGGCAACACTTCCGCATTGTATTGCAATTGCTTTTGTTTGCCCTCATCTCGAGTCCTTTTGTGTCTACTATTCAACGTGTTTGTAAGCTCTTATAATCGTAAAAGCTTAAGATTTCGATTATTATACTTCTTGTCGTAAACCGTTGATGATTGCATATCTCTGTGAGCTATTGGAAAACTTATTAATATAGTTGTACACGTGTGGCAAAATGGAAAATCATAAATAACTGATGTTAACATATCGGCATGGCAACATGTATCAGACGCGGGTGGCGCGGCGCTGGAGCGAGTCGACGACCTTCCGATTAGTGACGGCAATTAGTCAGCACAGTGCCACTATACCTACTGGTACACTATTGTTTATGCTCGTATGCTTAGGATATGTTATTTATTATGTGACTATTCTTTCGGAAAAGTGTATTATCATAAAAATGTCTAGATAGAAATCAGAGTTAGCCAAAATCATAAACTCTGCTTAAAACTTCGTCTTCATTAGCTCGCTACAACGCGAGTTCGTGGTGAAGCATTTAAGACAATAAACAAATACGCAGTGGAATATAAACAAGAGATAATCTTAATGAGACTTCCTGTATTGAGGGTCGTAATTAAAGCCTCGTGTGACCTCACCGACATCCCCAGGCGCACGCCGCACGCAGACCGACTGTGCTGTGCGATAATGTTTCAAACTACTTTGATTGCCTCCGCCACGTCCTGCGAATGTACGCAACTGACTTGATTGTTGTGAGGCGAAGTGGAGTGAGCTTTAATGGGCAGTTTTTCGAAAATTTGTCTTGAATAATTCTAGTGCATATCCACGTATAGTGACAATTCAAATTTCAGTACATTTAGTTATTACATCATTCGTAGCAGCCTTACTATGTTTACCTCTATATCCTAACATAAATGTCGACTATAGAAATGAAGTTTTTATATTACTGCAAGGGTAAATTAAAGGTAGAAATTTGACAAAGTGATTTTATAATGAAGCCATTCCGAAATGGTGTTGGCAGCAAGCCACAACGTGTCAACTTGGCTGGTGGGTGCAGTGCAGTTCAGTGCGGAGCGCTTGTCGGGCGGGCCTTGGCCAACTCGGCCGATTAACTCTCGCCGCTACCGCTGCGGTATAATTTACATAAAAAAACCACTTCTAGAGCCGAAGGTTTGTGCAATCTATCTAGGTCAATGAGCAAACTTAACTCATTATTAAACGGATGATTTGGAACTTTCGAAATAAAGGAAATTATTCTAGATTGCTGTTAAACATAAATTAATTAAAAGCTATTCCAACGAGGTCTACGACCTTGAAGTGTCAGTTTCGTCGTACAACTTTGTCATACGGCAAATGGCATACGAGAAGAGCGGGACTGTGATGTAAATAATAAATAACTCAAAATAGGTGTCATGTGAGTTCTGTCCGATTCTGATGTGTTTACCGTAACAAATGTGTTGTGACAGCGTGTGTTGACGTGCAATGTGGCTGCGGTACATACGAGTAGGTAGTAGTAGTACGACGAGCGATTATTATACTGTAGTAAACGAACGGACGGACTATAGCTCTATAAATACACATTTAATTATAGATGACATCAATTGCGACGTCCTTGGCTCTTCGTCCTGACACCGGCGGGGCGACGCTCGTCACCTAATTTATTGCTCTTTGATTGACTCGAGTACGATGACGTCACTCTTGAAATGCGTCACACGAATGTCTTTAGCAATTAATATTCTTAAATTATTTACCTTATTTTAATAAATTCATAAGGACTTGCAAAGGAGCTATCGGTTAAAGTTGCGCACACTTGAAAATACAAACATGATAAGTATTTTAGCAATAGTAGTTTAGAAGTGAAGAAATATTACAACTCTACTCTATTTATTAAAGTAGAGTAGATACTCTTTACTTATTAATTCCTAATTGTTTGAGAGACTACGGATCTCAACTTCGAGTACATTACAAGTTCGTTTCGGATGCCAGTTTGCGCCGACAATTAGCTGATTTATATTACGCAATGATAATTAATTACGAAGAAATTCTTTACGCGCCTGTCGGGGGCCCACCGCCAGCCGACGCGAATTGCAGACAATTCGTTTACGCATGTAGCATAAGTCATAAATCTCAACTAATTTGTGGAAATAAACGCGGCTTTTGCTATGATAAACACTGATTTATATCGTGTTCGCTAAATTTTCCACAGCGTTTGCACACTTATAGTAGTACCACAAGATGAAGCAGTTGGTTCTAATTTGTTTGAGCATGGAATATATACGTTAGAATGGAGATCCTAGTTCTCAAAATAATATAAAATATTCAGGCTACAGATATTATGCTGATGTTTGTGCAGTGCACAATGTCTATCTGAAACTGGCGGACGTGCCCGCGACTCCCGGCTCGGCTCCCCCTAACTACACACTTCCCAATCTGGGGCGCAGACTCCGACTTATTCCCACACATTACTTATCATCCCGTCTACATCCACAGTTGATGTATCTCCTCAGGAGTTCGCCTTGTGTACAGTACACTTCAAAGTACAGCGATGTGTAACGCTTGCGGAGTTTCTGTTATTGTGTAAACACTGCTTTTAACAAGTGTTATTAATGTAATTATCCACTTAGGACGAAAGCGTTGCGCGATGGAGAAACCTCGGTAAAAGTCGAGTGAAACGGGAGCCGCCCGAGCGCGCACAACCACTATGACCCACGTACTACGGTTATTTCAAGTCACACTTATTGTCACTTTGTCGTTACAATATTTCTGCCCTCATCTCGTTACGGGATGCCGTATTGTCGTACTGTTCGGTAATATATTCATCAGTTTTAAAATTATTTAAAGTATATATAAGCATGAAGTACATTAAAGGAAGAAATAAATACTTGAATATGATAACAGAGAAAGTAGCACACCTTGAGACCTGTGCTTTAACAGCCCGTCTGTAAAGGTTGACTCCCATTATTTTAAAAGAACACAAACAAATTGAAATTCAGATGCCGATTCGATTAAAAATGGCACACCCGAGATTTTGGTTGTTTCTAGAAGCGCGTATTATATCTGACAGTATTTATGTGCAGTTTACGTTGCGACCGGACTGTGTGACATTGTGCGAAGTGGTAAGGTCCCCGCCTACGGTTCCCGGCGGGGTCTGTGGCCGGCACACGCGGTCACCTCCGTCACACAAACGACGTTCTCGTGATTCCAGTCAAATATCACTTTATGTGATTATTATTGAATAATTTTTATCTGCAATACACGAAGTACTGCGTTATTAACATGAAATACTATTTAGTATCTACTACGAATATGAGAGCTACTTTTTTTTATTAATTCTGGCGTTAGAAGAGATTTGAAGTGTTTTTCAACATTCTGACAATACATACACGTTTTACTATTTTAATCGAAGTTCTCCTACAAAATTATTCTCCGGAACCTATTCACACTTAAAGCAAATAGTGTTCATATTGCAACAAAAATTATAGCACATTTTCTAGAAAAGTCAGAGAATCAGAAGGTTTGTATTGTTGCTGTTTGATTTTTTTGCTGTTGAAAGAATTACTTGTGTTTGTTGATAATAACGTGCGACATGGCATGGTTTGTTTGAGTGAAGTCGACATAGCAACGAGCGTTATGGGGCAACTCCACCTGCCCCGCAACAATCATGTTATTTCCCGGGAAATTACAGACGCGGGAGGGGGGGCGATGACACGACATAACAATTTGGAGATAATACTTAATTAAACGTTTTACATATACTTAATTTCAGAATACATATAAAATAACCATATAATCATTTGGTAAAAACTAAGAGATGAACAGTAAATAAATGCACAAAGTACAAAGTATGTTGTTAAATTAAGACAAATGAAACTGACCTGCTCGAATGATCCTGAAAGTTACCCCCGTCCAACAGACGGACCTTCGCGAATAGCACTGCGGAGACGAAGGGAACCTCCGTCAACTCTTCGAGGCAGCACTGAACTCCGAACTTGTATCGCTTCTTCTTCGTCATGAACGCCATGACGCCGCACACATCGGTCCCGGGGCAGAGGGCCCGCACTCGCGCGCGCCGGTCCCACCCGGCTCCTGACGCACTGGACCGGTTTGGTGCAGACCAAACTGTACGCGACCGGGTCGAACCGGTTTCTGGTACGCACTAGCACAAGCACTTCACTTTACATGTGTGTCGCGAAAACGCACGTGCAAATGAACGTTTTGATTTGGAAGCGAACTGCACAGCCTAGCTATTTGAAGACGTAAAGTGACGTAGCGACTAGTTTGTCATCGGGAAGGCTGGTGGTGCGAGGCGGCCGGGAGCCAAGCAGTGGCATAGCGGCCGGCAGCAGTCTGCAACAAGAGTTAGCGGTCAGCTCATTGACTCTGCGATGACTACACATACAATGAAGCGAGTGTGTGTATAAAGATAAACAAACAACTTTGAAGACAATACACAATATTAATCTATTTGTTATTAAAATGTTCATTAAATTGTTTAGCAAATATAAACAGTGCAGTCTGAATGCTTTAACATGTTGAAGAAATAAAGTGTGAAAACATATAACCTTGTCAAAAAAAAAATCAAAGAAGCCGTACAATTACTTAAAAGGAACACCTTCAAACGACATTGTTGTAGTGGTTTTAGGAAGCCGAAAAGTATTCTTGTTTACATTTTGTGTGACTTTTGTCTATACGTATTTATATTTTAGGATCAATATTTTCGATACGAGTTTTCTAACGAGACGTGTTTACTTACAACGCGGCGTGTTGTCAAAAGACGAGCGCGCACGCGCACGCGTACACAGGCACGTGCCTCCCGCGACGGAGTGCGCCCTTCACATCACCTGCAACAACACAGCACAGCGTGTACACAACCACACGGCGACAACTAAACAACGCCAAGTCCATTGTTTTGTTAAAAGTGCGGTATTGTAAACTTAACATTCAACAGCCAGTATTTTGGTAAATAAGGAAACGGCGCCAATACAGAGAAAAATTATTTCTAATAAGTTTTTAAGATATAACCGACTAAAAGCTGGCGTTGCTAAATTATTTATTTATGTGTATTGTGTAGAGGCATCTCACATCTAAATGTAACATACAATAAATCTATTTGGTCGTGTTGAGAAACTCCGGTTGGTCAATAATTTTGATAACGTAAAAAAGAATATCGGTAATGAGTTTATAAGCGAGGTCGCGGCGGGCACGGGCAGACGTAGCGTTGGATATTAGCTGCCGTATGCCACGGTGTGCTAGCGGTCGAAATCGGCCTTCTCGTGCCCATCTCACTTGCGCAAGCCGGCACCTCTCCGAAACCGGACCCTCTGGAAACTTCACTTCGGTGAAGTAAATTAAGAAAACTTACATTATATAGTTTGTTCCATTAAATATAAAAAAATTACATAGGCAGTGGGCTGGAACCCGATTCCGAATTCACAAAAAGTCGAACTGTTTCCATTTCGCAACGACCATCAAATAAACATAAAAGCAGACGGCGAGAGAATTCCTCGAAAACTCTCCAGGACCGACAGCATCAGCCACCTCCTCCTGCTCCCGTATCGCCCCGCATATATCGATGGATATAAACCAGCGGGAGCCACGTTTATTCCAGCAGCTCTTTCAGCTGGCTCATTGCCAAGTTATTTACTAGATAAGCATCTTGAAAGTTTTCGGAATTGTTTATAGTGAGTCTCTTCCGAGAAAACCCTATCAATTTTTACGGTATCTTTACAATTCTCATATATCAGAATGTGTAACGTTCCTGACTACAACTGGCAAGGAGGTTGCAACACGTGATCACATGCATGTTCCAGTGAACACATGTGTAATGTGTAAAACTAGTAAACAGGTTAGCAGACTTGCGTTAACAGCCGCAATATCATTTACCTTCTAATGAACGTTGACCATACAAAAAAAATTTACTGTTAATAAAAATTCAAGACAATATATGTTTTTTTACAGTAAATATTTTATTTTAAAATAGCAAGCTACAGCACCGACCTAATCTTTATTCAATGAGTACAAGATAACGCTACAATTTGGTATTATATAAAATAACAAAAACTAGGACAATTTGTATGAATGTTTTATAACATATTGTATAGCGGGCATTCGGTAATACGAGGTCAGCCTCTGCCTTTACTGTTGCTGCCCGAGGCGGTCGCGTGCAATTCACAGATACATCGCACAACTGTGAAATGTTTCAGTTCAAAGTTTACTTCTGTCGGTCAGTTGCTTTCGCTATAACTATAAATATTTCAATTTGCTTATTTCTGTTCAAACACTAAACAACTTGCAAGTTTCATAAATGTTTCATTTTCCATTACCTACAGATGTTCTCGGCGTTAAGAAGTTGAATTTTTTCAATCTTATTCCTGAACAATAAAGTTGAAAGCGATAGACGATTTACTTGTACCTGATTTCCAAAAAACATTATCATGTTAAGCTCGAACTTACCCCATGAAAATGAATCACTACTTTATCAATAATTCAAGTATGCATGATACCAAGCTTTACACCCTTTATCCACCAGTGCGAAATACGCTCATGAGCATTGTGGCATGGCGCCTGCGATAGCGCCGCTGAGTCACGCGCGCTGCCTCACACCGCACGCCCGCATTCCGCGTCTGATAACGCAACCAAATGAGCAGACAAAACATGCATCAGGTGCCCTTTGTGTTTAAATGTCTAAATTTATCTGCTATGCTAATTACATGTCGTATGTTTTACATATTCCTTAACGACACAATATGCTGGCCGCTAACATCATAAAATTCATAATAATATGTAAAAGAAAATAGTTGCTTTAACTGACATAGTTTTTTGTAGTAGCTAAGCAAGAATAAGTCATAATCGAAAAGTTAACATTCAAAAGGAAATTTCCTCGTAGCTAAATGTTTAAATTCACATAAAATAAGTGGCAGGTTTGTGGAGTGTTTATAATTACCATGCGGGCGACATCGGCACTAGGAATTACAATAATAGACATTACAATGCAATAACATAATATATAGTTGTGATTATAAATAGAAGCCGCGTCAGCTGGCACGCTGGAGGTCACTGCGCGGCATACACCACTACTCCATCCTTCACAGTTTGAAACAAGCGCTGCAGAAGGAAATCCGTTGACGAAAACTTCGCACATCCTATTTAAATGTTCTCATTTTACAGCATATAACACAAATGTATTTCATTTTCAAAATAATTAGTACTTTGTCTTGATATTTTATTAAATTCGATGGAATTGAACTATTTTGTCTTCAAACATTAGTAAGTTGACTAACCAGTTGTGTAACCACTGAGCCAACGAGCAATTAAGTTCGGTCAAGTGTGAAATGGTTTCTGATTGAAAAGTGAATCCCATTACCTTGGCTAATGGCTGCCTGCAGCAGTACAGTTTAAAGGCGCGAATCAATTAGACATGCCTCGACAGCCACAACCTGCCTACACAAATCTGTGATACCCTATTATCATTGTTACCTTTAGAAACTGAATCAAAATCTGGTATTATATTATTGTCGAGAATAACTTTCTATTTCGATATATGTTGTCTACTGTGATAAGAAAAGTATTTTACAACATAATCAAAATGTAATTAAAATGGTATTTTAACTGATAAGAGACCACATTTAGTCATCGCAATGGCGTTATTCAAGAATCAAATCCAAATTGCCAACAGACTAATTAATCTCGAGTTTTTGTGTTTGTATAGTACAAAGATATCGTTATTTCAATTACATCGGTGAGAAAAACGTAATTTGTAAGCGACAAGTAAGCTTGAATAAAAAAAATGTGTTGTGATCGTTCATTATACTATTTATTTTGTTCTCATGTTGACGTCATACGTCTGATGTTTTTTTTTTCGAATTCGTTGCGATTTATGGTGGCCGTGTAGCATGTCGGAGCGTGACGCGGCGTGGTGGATTGATTCGGCCCACCGCCGGCCGGTGTGACCGGAGCTCACTCGAGCAACGCGTGGGGAAACAAATGTGACTTGAGGGGAAGAAATTATTCATGCACAACCAAAATTAACCACATTGTTTTAAAATTAGACGAGTCATTGTAAATTATTAGGTTACTATAGTGATATCTATACAAAACAAATTCCATTTGTGGTTAAGGTTTTTAAAAGTAAAAATTATGTAGTCACTTATAAGTTTCGGTACAAGACCGACTCGTCGCATTTAAGACGTATTCTAAATAACAATACATTGATTTTATTTGACTTGCTTTACATTACTTAGTCGGAGGTATGGTTTTTTAACGAAAAAGAGTTTTGTACAATTAAAGATATCACAATTAGTTAACAAATAAAACAAATAGCCCTGTCTCGCACTTTGAGTGATAATTAATAAGCGATCGTTAAACAAAGAGGACAACACAACAAATAATTGCACACGCAAAATGTAGGTTAGTTACAAAACCTTTAGGCGTGTTTATCAGTCATGCGCAAGCGCCGCACGAGCCCGGCGACGCGCAATTTGTTCTAGACCAGCTCGCACTTAGGTGAAAGACTTTACGAGTACTTTAGAATAATATCTTAATATCTTACCAAAAAGTACCATAAGTCTATACTTCTTCAATCCTTTTGTTTAAATATAGTGTTTACACACTTAAGTAAATATAAAAAGAACGCGATCACTTTACACAATTCAATGTTGAAATTGTGTTACCGCACGGTTCCACAAATACGTTAACTAACCACTTTACAGTCTAATGACAATCAATATTATTAGTAGTATTATATATAATAATGTTGGCCTGTTCTTTGATTGAAACGTTGCATTATCTTAGTTGCAGAGAAACTTAAGAAACACTAAAAACTACTAAACTTTTAGTATTCCATTACTAAGATAGGATGAAAGTTTACAAAGTTTTAGATGACTAAATGCTTTTAATATATTAGCGGAGGGGTTCATCTATAGATCAATCTGAAGGACAAAAACATTGTATGTCGACCCTACGTATGTGAGATAAGGACAAGAGATGAACGTTTCACAGCTGACATGAGCCTTGAATAGTTTGACATATCAAGATCTAACAGCTAGAATCGGGTTGCGTAAACAAGCTTAGACAGAAACAAATGGCTGGCATTTATGTTGACCACCCCGTTAAAAACATAAAGTCATGATGAGCACATATTTTACATAACACGCGCAGGGTGGAGCACGGTTGGTTGCGTATCGTGGAATATAAAGGCTATTTGGCATTTTGTCAAATCATTAACGATTTTGTAATACTTATGGTCAATATTGACATTTTTTGGAAAATGAGGCCACATAAAGGTAAATATAACATAAGTTGAAATTGAAAATGAAATATTAAAAAGCAGATATTTAAGAATTAAGTCATAACTTACATAAAACCACTTGAAAGTCAAATGTGAAGAAACGAGTAAACATCATTTAAATAAATAGAAACAATTTGTGTTTAACTAATGTAACGTAATAAGCAAAAACCACTGTATGTGGCCTTCAGATTGTAATTTACAGGAAAAAAATGATGTGCGATACAAACCGTTCCGGCCTCTCGCCGTTTAACGTTTTTAACACTAGTTTTTATAAGCTAAAATAAAACTTGACTCGAGACCTAAAAACGTGATACAAGTAAGAAAAAAATACTAACGCGATGTACGGCAATAGTCTCTAAAGCAAAAGTTATAACCGCATGACAACAGCTACCAATTTAGCCGTCTGTCTTACTTAGCTTTTGATTTATTTTATAACTGGTTTGTTACTAATTATTGCTTTACAACAACATTTTAAATACATTACATATGATGAGGAAGTTTACACAAGTCCAACCGCAGGCAGAGCTTGACGTTCAACGAATAAATTTGTACGGC